CCCCAAAACCCCAAAACCCCAAAACCCCAAAACCCCTTGGCAGTGTCCTAACAATGAAAATCTAATTATGAATAATTAGGTATGTGACATAGTAGTGGATTTGCTCTCTCTTTTGCTACTTCATTTCTCAATTATTCCATACTCAGGGTTGATCTTTATTGTTCAGAAATTGTGTTTGAGAGCTTCATGAGCGGAGGGTCTCTTGGTCGGGTCAATCTGTACAAGGTATTTTATGAAGTCTTTAAACTCTTCATGACCTGGTAGGATTAGATCATCAAGCTTTTTGAAATCTCCATGCTCATATTCTCTCATTTTTTCTCTAGATATTTCAAAATCTGATCTTCTTTTATAGTAGAGGTACTCTATAAAGTTCGGGGTTATACTTACTATGCTCTCTTCTGATGTCGGGTGATGCTTTATCCAGCATCCAGGTTGGGTATGGCCCTCACATTTTATCCTAAATGTCAGAAAGATAGCTTACAATCATATCTAGGTGTTCATTTGTGCTGTGTGTTGGAAAAAGTTGATTGCCAGAATAAAGCTCTGCTAAGATTCATCCAAACGACCAAATGTCAGAAGTGTCTGTCCACTTTCCTCAGTCGAGCATGACTTCGGGTCCTCTGTATTGCCTAGTATTAATTATCCCCGATCAGTTCTCATTTGTATAAGTTGCTGAACCAAAATCAATGACCTTGACCTTTCTAAAGGGTTAGGAAAAAATCCTACGTTGAATAGGGGACTGAATATAATTGCTCTTTAAGCTGGAGGTCATCACTTTTGCAATAGAAGTGCTCAATTGTGCCATCCCTCTTTATTTTGTATCTTGCGTCCTTTTTCTCAGCAAACACCTAATGATTGGTTACTTAGTTTTCCTTTTAATTGGATAAATTCTGAAATTTACTTACCTGCAGCGGTAGCTCTTTCCAAGAATCAAGGGTGAATGACCTATCGTCTTCCAATAATATATTTTCTGGTTTCAAATCTGTGTGGATCAAGTTGGCATTGTCATGCATGTCCCTCAGAGACTTCAACACCTGTATTGTTATGTCCTGAATAGTAGATAAATGATAACCCTTGTAGTTGTTCATTTCTAAAAATTGGAATAGAGAACGTCCTAATCTTTCAAAGAGAATACAGTATTGGCCTCTGAACTGGGAAGATTTTTGAAATTCAAAGTGGTTCCTAACTCTCACAGTCCCTTGTACCTTGTTTTTAATGTTTTCAAGTATTCTCGCTTCGATCTTGGCGGATTTTATATATCTAGAAACAGCTCTAATTATTTTACAGGCGTAGATTTCTCCTGATTTGAGGGACACGACTTCGAAAACTCTGCCGAAAGTGCCGTCTCCAAGGTGCTTTATAATCTAAAGTTGATTCTAATTGGCTTACTTTATATCTATTCATGATTATATCACCGATCTCATAATCATAATGAGCCGCGTCTTTAGTTCGATCTCTCTTGCTAGGGCTGAGGCACATTACGGATGATTTTTCTGACCCAGTATGGGATACCTTCTTATCTCAGAATCCGTCCTTGTTCCTTGTTTTTGAAGGCTTATAGTTCCAACATCTATAGTTAACATTAGATCTGGGTGGACTCTGGGCTAAAGTTTCAAGCTTACTTTTCTTTATACTTCTTATATTCGGAAGAGGCCATGGATAATTTACTGGGGATCTTAAAATCGTCCTCTCTACGTTTCTCAATGTATTTCTTATCTCTTTTCCGTTCTCTAGTGCTTCCGCTATTCTTATGCTTATGTTCTGAATACTGGCTGCTGTACTTAGAGCTCTTGTTGTAGTTCCTCTTAGAGCTATATGAAGCTTTGAGGTATTTGTAGGATGCAGACTTGTAAGTATGCTTCGGGAGGTTCCCTTCTTTACTTTCCTCCTTACCACTGTAGGTATAAATTCTTCTTTCTCTTGAGCTCCTATCTCTTTTGGAAGACTTCTTCATCTTGAAATACTATGGTAATAATTATAAAATTTCCTTTTTTTAACAAGTCAATAAAGTTTGGAGCCGATGGGGTTTTGGGGTTTTGGGGTTTTGGGGTTTTGGGG